TACTCTAAGCTACATTGTTTTTTCTTGTTTGAAGGTGTGGCAGCCATTACTGTCCAGTTTGCCAGTTTGATTTTGAGCGTTTTCGCCTTGAATTACAGTTTCATGTAACACAGAATCCTCGCGAGCGTCTGTCGGGCGTCTGTCACGTTAACCTCTGTTACAGAATACAGCAGCTGACTAGCGACAAGACTACACAGAAGCGATAAGATTACACCCCTTGCTCTGTTTCAATTTCTGTACCCATTTTAGAAAACTTTCAAATGTTATGTTTCTTTTGTTAAAATACTTCCAGCAGTAAAAACATCAGACCGAACCTTTTGCGGTGGGGCCTCGGTATATTCCCCGCTTTTTATACAAGCTCAGGAACCTAGGCATGTTATGTCTGATATGGCTTTGTAGCAGTTTTTTAGCGGTCCGAAATACTCCTCGTTTGGGGGCTGGAGAGCAAGAAAAGATAATACCTGATTATTATATACTAAGCAAGCATGTGTCTGCTAAAGGAATGCTTTTATAGCAGTAGTATAGGACAATGTATGCAGATTAGAGAATTGCAGTGGAAACTGTTACATTTAAAAACAAAAAAAATGATAAAAAAAACAAAGTTCCGTTATTTACCCTAGGCAGTGTTTGTAGCACTAATGCTGGTGAGGCCGAGCAAATTCCTGAAACAAATAATTTAAATCAAACTTAACAGGGTTAAGAATCCCAACTGGCCGGAGGCAAACCTGTTGGCTATTTACAAGCGTGGTCGAGGATTTGAACTCGGGACTAATTCCCGGTCATTACAAGAAAACAGCCAATCAGAGCGCGCGTACTATTGTAGCCATATAATAAACATACATTATACATGTTATTAAGGATTCTTAAGATGTTCCTTGACCCTTACAACACAGGAAAGGATGATTTGGATGTAAAAGGATGATTGGCTTTTTGGATTATGGTTTGGGGTAAGAGGCAAAGGAGAAGGTGGCACTGGGGTGTGGCAACTGTTTGACTGCCAATTATTTCCACCCTTCCTTGAAAATTATACACCTCTAGCTCTACACAGCGTCAACTTCGTAGACCCTTGCTTTCCTGAGTCACAATGCACATGCGGTATTCTGTTGCTGGTTTTCACTCAGTCACGCATTCAAAAATAGAAATCCAAACCGATCATACAATACATAAAGTCCAGAAACTGGAAATAAAAGAAGGTAAATATACAAAAAGCCTCGCCAAGTTTCAGGGCGGTGCAATCTTTAATATGCGAGACATTCGGAGAATATGACCGAGATGACATGCGGCTTTCTAACACTAATGGTATTTTGCAAGAAAAAAAAAACTTTGTGGTTTATTGGTGTTGAAGTAAAACATGAGACGAGGTTGGAGATCTAACGTTAAACACCGTAAAAATGGTAGTTAAAATGGTAGTTCCTTAGTGGTGTCTTCCCCCCCCCCTTTTAAGAAAAATCCTGGATCCACCCCTGATGGAGCTTCACGATCCTCCATGCATGAAATTACTAGGCCATAAATTGTCTTTATCCCCCTCTTTGGAGCTATTACTCAGTTTTCACTTCTGCATCAGCGCGTTCTCGCACACCATCAAACGCAAGGGAAACGTGACATTGAACTGTGATCGTTCTTGGGAGCTGGAGTTTGTGTTCTCTTCTAGAAATACAGGTAATGTACACCACTTGCTTAAAGCCCAAACATGTACGTTTGACTTCACAGCTTTAAAGATCTTAAAACTAACTCGATCTGCGAAGACTTCGAAAGCGTTGATGCACACAGTAAACTCATGTTTAATATCTATGCTGGGCAACGGATTTTCATTTTTCACTGACCAAAATCACTGTAAATCGTGATCGTGCACCTTTTCAACGGACGCCAACTAAAAAACACAACAAAATAANAAAAAAAAACTTTGTGGTTTATTGGTGTTGAAGTAAAACATGAGACGAGGTTGGAGATCTAACGTTAAACACCGTAAAAATGGTAGTTAAAATGGTAGTTCCTTAGTGGTGTCTTCCCCCCCCCCTTTTAAGAAAAATCCTGGATCCACCCCTGATGGAGCTTCACGATCCTCCATGCATGAAATTACTAGGCCATAAATTGTCTTTATCCCCCTCTTTGGAGCTATTACTCAGTTTTCACTTCTGCATCAGCGCGTTCTCGCACACCATCAAACGCAAGGGAAACGTGACATTGAACTGTGATCGTTCTTGGGAGCTGGAGTTTGTGTTCTCTTCTAGAAATACAGGTAATGTACACCACTTGCTTAAAGCCCAAACATGTACGTTTGACTTCACAGCTTTAAAGATCTTAAAACTAACTCGATCTGCGAAGACTTCGAAAGCGTTGATGCACACAGTAAACTCATGTTTAATATCTATGCTGGGCAACGGATTTTCATTTTTCACTGACCAAAATCACTGTAAATCGTGATCGTGCACCTTTTCAACGGACGCCAACTAAAAAACACAACAAAATAAACTATTTAGTCTCGTATATAATGCATCAGGTAATGAGCTCCTGACTACGTACATTTGTAGGACAACAGGAAAAAAGTCGCTGTTATTGACGTGCATGGGTATCTAAAAACAATAATACGTGCTTGAATAACGCATGAATGACCAACCGTTTCCAAGTCAGTTAAAACGCAAGATAAAAATTAGAAAGGAGTTTCTTTGATTTTTGTTGTTATTTTAAGTCTTTATTTCATTGGTTTCTTTCATTTTATTCCGCAGCCACTTTGGCTGCTTAGTGACTCTGGGACATATCTTAACATGTCTTACAAATTCAACGTTCCAATAGGGCGTTTCAACGTTAAATGAAGGTCTAACAACATGATGGTCCAACATCACTCAAAAACATCCACAAACATCCAATTAGAAGTTGTTTCTCACGGCAACTTTTACATCTGTTGTGGACGTCGTCCTATGATGTTACCGTTCAAATAAAACCTCTTGGGCAGAACTTTTGCACGGTGCAATTCATTTCTTAGGGTTTTGCAAACCGAAATAAGATTCTTTTTGTATTGAGTTTTGTTTATATTAGCCACCAGGAGGAGTGAAAGGTTTCGCTAAAGGAAGTTTGACTGCAGTTGTCAGTTTTGCTATCAATTCTTACATCGTATCAAATGAGTATTTCGGGGGAAGCGAATTGACATCCGATGTACAATTATTAGAAAATCTAAATTCATTGTAATTGTAAATGGTCGATTTTTATGTCACGGTTGTAAACCTGAACTGAAACGTCTTGACTGTTTTGGGCGCCTTTTTCTACAGGATAGTAAAGAGACTTATGATGTCGGGCACGTTGGGAACAAGGCTGGTATGGAGCCTAGCTGTTCTTTGCATTCAGAATGCTGAGGCAACCGGAATCATTTCCTGCCCAAGTGTGCAGAGGGACTTTTATCCCGGAGTTGAACCTCAGAATTCATCACCTCCTTATGTACTCAACGTGACGGATGAAGATGGTCAGCCTCTTCCTGATTTAAGTTACTACGGTGGCGATTTACGCTACAACGGTAAGAATCCCTCATTTAAGGTAATCTAAAGCTATGTTCAAACTATATATACCGTATAGCTTTAGCGCTGGCACGAAAATTATAGCGACAGTCTCATATACTGGATTCGGGTTTCCAATCGTTAACGGGATTCCGGATTGTAAAATTCCGGATACCAGAAGCAAAAATATACCGGGATCCGGAATCCCGAAGAATTGAGACTTGGTTATCACCTCTTTATAAACAAAATGATCAGGCTACACACTTAAGTACCAAACACAGATCCACAGGTCCCTGGATGTCCAAGGTTGTATAGCGCTATCAACTGTAAAAAGCACGATTCAGAAGTTAAGTATTATATTAAAGAAACCAACTGCGCTATAGTTACACTAGCTTGATATTCATTTAGTGGACAACACGGTATTACCCTGAAAAAGGTACGTTAACTTCACAGTCCTTTGTTGATTCTTCTCATTTAGTCTCGCTGAGTGGCATACGAACAGGAAATAAAACAGAAACGTTTGTGGGATTCATCATATACATATATAACGAGTCTGCGGATAAATCAAGTGGGCACTTTGTGACACCCTTGCCTCAGGGAGTACAGAAAGAAAAATGCCACTTCATCCCGCGGGATAGAACAGTACGTAAAATATACAGTAGAACTTCGGTCACTCGAATTCTGAAGGGAAGAGTTAGCGGGGATTCGAGTAATCGGGGTCGTCTGGTTATTCAATTTGTTGTGTTAATAATTGATAGTTTACTGGCCTTTTAGTATGCAGTACAGTGCAAATCAAACTTATCAGAAGCTTTAACGCGATGATGCTTTCTCATGATAATATGGGGAAATGACTGTCAAATTATTTGTTCGTGCACTGATTGAAAACAAATTGTTGTTGTAGTGTTAGTTTTAGTATTTTCACCGATGGGATGGCATCCGAAGTGAGCTGCAAGAACCAGA